GTGCCAAGCACCTTTGTGCCTAAGTTGTCCATCATGGACATGAATTTTGATAAAAAGATTTTTATACCTAAAACATCACTTCAACACATAATCAAGGTGACCATTATTCATTGAAACTAAAACACCAACCTCGCTGTATCAAGTCAATGCCCCCCTCAAAGCAGCCCTATACGACAGGGTAGCGCTGCCCCTGAGAGTTTCTGAGACTGTGACTGTGTGCGGGAGCAGAAGGCCTTGTCTTCTCCCAGGCCGAGGCTGGTGGTTTCTTACTGCCGACCTGGTACATCCCAGCCCAGCACTTAACCACTCTGCCAGGGCTCCCATTGCTCCTAAGATACTGTGTATATTCCTTCTCATACTCAGTCCTTGCAATTTGGCGTGCATTTTAAACTTACAAACCCGCTCAATGTACACATTAATTATTCACCAGAGATCCTGGGTCTCTATTTAGAGTTCATCAAGTCCGCCTTTGGAAAAGTAGATTCCCATCACCAAATTGTTCCACAGGACACACTTTAATCAATAACCAAATCGAGCCTCAGATTTGCAATTTATATAAATTAAGATCGGAGGCAATTAAAGTTCCGCTTCTTATTCACACGAGCTGCTTTTCATTTGTTGAGCAGACATCTGTGGCAGTGTGCTCTCTGTCACCGGTCAGATGGAGACAGGAATAGCAAGTCCCCGTCTGATACTAAGAAAGGGAAGGCCCAGAGAGGAGTCATCTGACCATCCCTCGTACGTCCTGAGGAGGGAGGCTGCCAGGAGCCTAGGAGATTGAGTCCTGGCTTGGCTTTGAGCCTGTCTAGCTAAGGGACCGTAGATCAATAAATAGCCTTATTGCATGGAGCCTTCCACAAATGGGTATTGACCCTGCCCTGCCTCCCCCACCAGGAGGGTTATGAGGATGGAATAGTGTAATGGAGATCAAAGAGGCTGGCAAGTGGTGAGACCCCAGGCAGAGGGGAGAGCTGGACTCCACAGCCCTTTCCATCATGGCTCTTCTTCTGGGGTCTGTACAATTACTAGCCAGTCTGTAAACCAAAGCTAAAAACCAAAAATCTAAGAAATGATTTTTAAAAAATGAAAAGAAAAACTTCCAAATGATAGCTGTCTCGTGATGAACCAGTCATGAGTAGAGGTGTTGGCAGTGGTCACCACACCAACGCCACTCTTTGTTGTCTGAGAACCAGAATTGTCTCAAATCTCTCGGGGTTCCCTCCTGAGGTGAGAACTCCCATAGCACAGACGGGTTGTTGGAGTTCTGCTCTTGGTGACTTGCGTCCAATCTCCCATCCAGGTTTTTAGGATGATTGAAGAGCGCCCCACACATGCCATTACTGTGCGCGTTTCCTACCTGGAAATCTATAATGAGACCCTGTTTGACCTCCTGTCCACCCTGCCCTATGTTGGACCCACAGACACTCCAATGACCATCGTGGAAAACCCGCAAGGGGTCATCATCAAGGGCTTGTCAGTTCACCGCACAAGTCAGGAGGAGGATGCATTCAGCCTCCTTTTTGAGGTGAGACGATCAAGTCGCAGGTGTTCTTACTCTTCTGTTTCTCTCTTTCCCCCCAGCACACCTCATTTTATCACGCACGGCTTTATTGCGCTTGGCAGGTCCTGTGGTTTTGACAGCTGAAGGTTGGGTTGGTGGCATCCTGAGTCAAGGTCTGTCAGCTCCATGTTTCCCACAGCGTGTGCTCATTTGTGTCCCTGTCATATTTCAGACTTTTTCATAATTAAGAGACAACAGTATGGTGTGAACATAGCTTTTTCATGTAGGAGGAAACCAAGAAATTTGTGTGACTCCCTTCACTCTGATAGTAGCTGTACCGCAGCGGTTCGCAATGAAACCCATGACATCTCTGAGACATGCACTCTGGGGTGAGCACTAAACTGCAAGGTCAGCAGTTCAAACCCTCTGGCTGCTGTGCCGGAGAAAAGTGATGTAATCTGTTCCCTTAAAGATTTACAGCCTCAGAACCCCCACTACACAGGGTCCCCATGAGTCAAAATTGACTTGATGGTGGGGCTGGGATCTGTGTCTACTTTTGTTTTCTCTCCTCCTCCTCCTCCTCCCTCTCCTTGTCTCTTACTATTTTAGTTATTTGATTATCAGAAGGAAAATTAATAGATGCAGGTTGTAAGAATTCAGATAGCACTGAAAATATGTATTTTTAATTCACTGTCATCAAGTCAATTCTGACTCATAGCAAGCCTATAAGACTGAGTAGAATTGCCCCCGTGGGTTTCCAAGACAGTAAATCTTTATGAGAGTGGAAAGCTTCATCTTTCTTCTAGAAAGGCTGGTGGTTTTGAACTGCTGACCTTGTGGTTAACAGCCCAATGCATAACCCACTATGCCATGCTACCAGGGCACTGAAAAATATCTACAATTCACTGCATCACTTTGATTCCAACTCATAGCGACCCTACAGGACAGTATAGATCTGCTCCTTTGGGTTTCTATGACTTTAAATCTTTACAGGAGGAGACAGCCTCATCTTTCTCCCATGGAGCAGCTGGTGGGTTCAAACCACTGACCTTGTGGTTAGTAACTCAGTGCATAACTCACCATGCCACCAGAGAGCCTACTGAAAATCATAAGAACAAAATTTACTTATAATCTCTTTTTTACATAAGGCAATGATAATGTCTATTTAGGGGATAATTTCCTTTCCAGTCTTTTCTCCAGTGCAGTTTTTTTCTTTATATAGTTGAAATGATTATCTTTTTTACCCCCAGTTAATCTTAAGTCATGAGCAATTGTAGCATTAAAATAAAGGTTAATGTCCTTAATATATCAAGAGATCCGTGAATAAGCAAATGTGGTAAAGAAAACTGATGGTGCCCGGCTATCAAAAGATATAGCGTCTGGGGTCTTAAAAGCTTGAAGTTAAACAAGCGGCCATCTATCTCAGAAGCAACAAAGCCCACATGGAACAACATATCAGCCTGTGTGATCACGAGGTGGCGAACGGATCGCTGATGACAAATGGGTGTATAAGCAAATGTGGCGAAGAAAGCTGATGGTGCCTGGCTATCAAAAAGTATAGCATCTGGGGTCTTAAAGGCTTGAAGATAAACAAGTGGCCATCAAGCTCAGAACAACAAAAGCCCACATGGAAGAAGCACACCAGCCTATGCGATCACGAGGTGTTGAAGGGATCAGGTATAAGGCATCATCAGAACAAAAAATCTTACCATAGTGAATGATGGGGGGAGTGCAGAGTGGAGACCCAAAGCCCATTAGTAGGCCACTGGAGATCCCCTTGCAGAGGGGTCTCAGGGAGGAGAGGAGCCAGTTAGGGTGCGATGTAGCAATGATGAAAAATACAACTTTCCTCTAGTTCCTAAATGCTTCCTCCCTGCCCCCACTATCACGATCCGAATTCTACCTTGCAAGTCTGGCTAGACCAGAGGATGTACACTGGTATAGATAGGAACTGGAAACACAGGGAATCTAGGGTGGATGATCCCTACAGGACCAGTGGTGTGAGTGGCGATACTGGGAGGGTAGAGGGAGAGTGGGTAGGAAAGAGGGAACCGATTACAAGGAACTGTGTGTGACCTCCTCCCTGGGGGACGAACAACCGAAAAGTGGGTGAAGGGAGACATCGGACAGGGTACAAGATATGACAAAATAATAATTTATAAACTATCAAGGGCTCATGAGGGAGCGGGGAGCGGGGAGGGAGGGGAAAAATGAGGACCTAATGCCAGGGGCTTAAGTGGAGAGGAAATGTTTTGAGAATAATGAAGGCAATGAATGTACAAATGTGCTTTACACAATTGTGTGTATGGATTGTGATAAGAGTCATATGAGTCCCTAATAAAACAATTTAAAAAAATACATCAAGAGCTCTCACAGATCGATTCCATCGAGTCAATTCTGACTCACAGCAACCCTGTGGAACCTCGTCCAACTGTGGCTTTAAATTTTTATAAACATGGGTTGCTTCATCTTTTTCCAAAGTATGGTTGGTAACTTTGAACTGCTGACCTTTGGGTCAGCGGCTCTTCACTTAACCACTGAGCCACCAGCGCTTCTCGGCCGCACCACCTGGGCTCCTAGTTAAAAAGCAAACAAACAAAACTCGATTTCTTAAGAAGCTAACCAGATGTGATCAGAGAAGCCACTGGCCTGGAGTCAGTGCCACCTCACAGTAACTATGAGACAGAGTAGAACCAAAGGGTTCGCAAGGGGCTCCGGGTTTCTGGAGGCTGGCTGACAGCATCTTCTCCCCTGAGCCTGAGCGACTCATGGGTTGAGACAACTGGCCTTTCGGTTGGCAGCTGAGTGCTTTAACCACAGTGCCACTCACTGCATGGAGTCAGTGCTGACTCAGTGACTCCCGGTGGGTTTCTAAGACCTTAACTGTTTACTGGAGTAGAAAGCCCACACTTTCTCCAAAGGAGCTGCTGGTGGTTTTGAACTGCCACCATATAGATCGCAGCCCAACATTTAACCACTACACTACCCCAGGGCTCCTCTTGGTGCCACTATGACTCCTTGTTGTTGTTTTCTTAACCTAGGCATTCTACTCCTAGGTATCCACCCAAAAGAAATAAAGCCATAGGTCCACACAAAGACTTGTATGTGACTGGTCATAGCAGCGTCATTCAAAAACAAGAAGTAGGCCAAATTGGGAATTAATAAACCAAAGTACAATGGAAAACTATTGGGCAGTCAAAGGAGTAGAGTACTGACACATGCCACAACATGGGGGAACCCCCAAAACATCACGCTAAGTATAATAAGACGCATGAAAGACCGCATGGCACTTCATTCATATGAAATGTCCAGAATAGGCAACTCTGTAGAGACAGAAACCATGCCAGCAGTTACCTGGGGGAGGACCAGGCAGCGGCTGCTCACCAGCCCAAGGGGGCTTCCTGGGGTGATGCAAGAGTTCTCAAAGATGGAGAGCAAATGTATTGAGAATGATGAGGGCAATGAATGTACAAATGTGCTTTACACAATTGATGTATGTATGGATTGTGATAAGAGTTGTATGAGCCCCTAATAAAATAATTAAAAAAATAAAGTTTTAAAATGCAACGATTTAAAAAAAAATTTCCTAAAGAGGCTCGTGGTGGGGAATGTTTCGTTGTGTATATTCTTGCCATAATTAAAAATAATAATTACATGAATAACAAGTAAAGGAAGAAGAAAATGCTCTAAAATAATGGTAAAGATTGTACAACTCTAATTGCTATGATTAAACTATTGAATGGTATGTGGATGACGTACTAATAAAACTGTTCAAAAATGGTTGGGGGGAGGAGAGGAGTGTGGTGGCTGCCCGGGACTGAGATGCCTTAAAGCTATAAACGTTCATGTCCGAGCTATTTGAACCACACTCCACCAACACTTTACAAGAAGACAGCAAAGCCCCAGGGTGAGTTAGGACTGGGTTTCCTGCATCCTCAGAGTAGAGAGAGCCTCTGGGGAGCAGGGGTTGGGCCTTCATGCATTATGACCAGAAAGAAAGGTGTTTGCTGTAGGTTTTCAGTTCAGGAAAGTTCCCTCTGCTCTTTTTTTTTTTT